TCCTCTGTTCAAGGCAACCATATCATGATCGGTTTGGCGTTTTCTCTGAATGGGGCCTTTTACATATGTTCGGTACTATTGTTTGGTTTCATAACAGACAAATACGTAAGCTGTTTTTCTTTTTAGTTTTTATTTTAAAATTCTCTTTATTATTTTATTAAAATCATTAACTCTTTTTTGTTATATGTTTCGTTTGGTCTAAAGTCGCATAATAGCAACTAAATTTAATACCTCACCTGGTGAAAGTTTCACAGCAAAACTGTAGCATAGAAATAAGTATAAACTTCCAAAGATATATTAAATAAATGTCCTGTTTTTCTTATAGAATCGGTGTAAGGTAATAATAATCTTGGGACTCATCGTCATGGCCGTAGCCTTAACTCTCATTGGACCCTGGGCACCCTTCACTCACCTATTCCCAAACGGCAAGGGGTAGGTACCAATGCCATAAATTCAGAACCATGAAGACATTTCTTTAAGATATAATGTTGCTGTGCTAAATGTTGCAATGTTGTAATCGATGATTATATTTCGAAAAACAGGAATAAAAAACACTGTTGTTCATACCTGTCACAACTAATGAAGTTTATGGATTCAGTCGCAAACGTCTACATGTAAGGGCTCTGTTATCTTTGCATATACAAAAGCTGAAAAACATACAAAAGAAGCACAAAGAAACACAAAACACCAGCAGTCTAGAGATAAGTTCAATCATTTGTTAAATATGGTCTTCAGGAAAACAACGCATTCGCATATGGCCATCTCATGAGTAGAGTAGGAACGTAGATTCAGCTAGGAAGACCAGATGCTCTCAGTGCACGTCTCTTAGGTTTCTGTTTTGAGTTTGCGAAGCCGTGGTTTATGCTATATGGTTACGTGTTCACATAGGTGTCTTGGCCATTATTCGTGGCATATTGCCATGTTGGACCTATTTCCCGTTCAAAGTTTGGCGGGATAGGCCTATCAAACGATGAGCCCATGACAGTGGAAATTTTCGTGTGGGTTCTTCTGGCAATGTTCATGATAACGCGAACAGAACCTGACGTCAAATTGTGTCAAACTGTGAATCTGTCAGAAGCTACACTGCGGGTCGAAGCTCTTCTCGGGGTAAAAACTAGTCTCATAATATGTGGCCTTGAAACCCAAAGCTCTCTGGCAATGTTGGGTTCCCTGAAGCCCAGTGCATTGAATGCAGTTATTTGGTACTACAAACAACGCGAGTTGTCTTGGTATGGCTTTAGTAATAGTTTGGTGGAGCGCTAGGTCAGATCTCATCTTCAGAAACACCCCTTTTATAACCAAACTTCGTGGCAGCCACAGTTCATATGTGCTCATATTTGACCCAGATAATGCAAAATGGTCATTGGTTTCTGTGGGAAATAAAAAAAAAAAACAAAAAAGCAACTTATGCGTGGCTTTTAAAATCTATCACATCAGTTAAAAACAAATTATAAAGGTTTGACAACCAATTTCAGCAAGTTACATCTTGATAAAAATAGATTCCCTCCCTCCCCCCCCTCCCTCCCCCATGTCCCGAGGAGGCTATGTCTCGCCCTAAAATATTTAAGATCAGCTATAAACTTATCTGTATGTGTGCAGTAATATTGTACATTTTGGATTTCAGAGCATCATGGGGAGTTTACTTGGGGCAATGTTTAAATGGAGTTGGAAACGCCTGTATCAATGTGGCTGTCTTGGCGGATTGTATAAAGGAAGCCGTGTAAGTTACGTGCAATTAGAATTAGCTTATATCAATGTAGCTGCCATGGCGGATTTTATGGCGGACGTCGAAAAGTTGGAAGACTTGTGAGGGTCTTGTGCCCCATTCCTCTCTGTTGAGTATTATTAGAAAAATATTGTTTTGTAATCGTAGGCCGTGCCAGTTATGTACACACACTGGACATTAGAAGTGTAAAGTAATAAAAGTAGGCAGATCTTGGGTAGTTATAATGCCTGGTCTACTTATGATGTGACTAATGAGTATAAAACCGCTATACCATGGAATTGTATTGTTGGTCTTGTACATGTACAGCAAATGTTATTCCTGTCTTCCTCCAATATGGCAAGACACAGGCAATTATCTTACGGTTATAGGTGCAAGGCGAAATATAAGCAATGTCAGAATATCGATACAATTGAATTGTTCAGTCAGAACCGTGCAAAGGGTCTGGTCTCGGTATAGAAACCCTGGATCAAAAGACAAATTGTCTCTGATGGGTCGTCCAAGAAAAACTACTGGTCGTGAAGACCGACGACTGATTTTGATGTCCAGGTTGTCAAAGTTCGACACTGCTTGTCAGCTGACAACACAGTGGAACAATTTCACACGTAAGAATGTGCCTGTGAAAATTGCTAGGCGTCGGTTACATGCTCATATTGTGTACAGCAGGGTAGCAAGACTGAAACCTCTTATATCGTTACAAAACAGGCAACGTAGAGTGAACTAGGGTCAACAGGATCTGGAACTGGACAGTCCATGACAATTGGTCCTATATTTTTTTTTTCTGATGAGTGTTGCTTTGGTCTGACCTCTGATGACAGACTGGTACGATGCTGGCAAACTGCTGGTAAAGCATTTGAACCACATGCACTGAATTTTCGAACCCGGAGCAGCATATTCATCATGGTGTGGGGCTGCATCAGCATCCATGGCGTGGGCGAATTGATAGTGGTTGATGGAAACATGAATCACTAGAAATATATCGATGTTTTGGAGTCAGGCTTGCTACCATCTATTACTAACATGTTTGGTGTCAGGAATTATCCATTTGTTCACCAGGATGACAATGCTCCTTGTCACAGGCCCAGAGCAGTTGATGATTGGTTTGACCAACAGGACATTCGCAGGGTGATGTGGCCTGCCCAGAGTCCGGATGCAAACATAATAGAAAATGTGTGGAATGATATTTCAAAATTTTGACAAATGCCCGTCTATCCAGCAGAGAAACTCTGTTATATTCAGTGTTTCATGCTTGGGCCAGCATAAGCCCTGAACGCATCAGACAATTATATGAATCCTTGCCTCTTAGACTGGCACCTATTATTAGGTCACGTGGCAATGCCACTAAGTACTAATTTTGGACTTGAAACTGCATATTGTGGTAGAATGTATATTTTGTTCTCATTTTGTGATTTTTTGTGAAATTTGATGACTGTAAAATGATACCAGGAGCATATCATTCCACAGTCATCTATCTCCCCCATAGTATTGGTTCAGTAGAGGTGACACTTCTATTGTCCAGTGTGTGTAGTAGTATAATCCCCTTTTTCGAAGTTCTGTAGCCGTCATGGCGGATTGTGAAAGAAAATCATGGAAGTGGTAAGATTGGTTACTGGGCCTTATATTCTGTTTCCCACTCTTTAACATGATTAGTAAAAATATTCAGCATTCATTCAGAAGGATGAGAAAATTTCTCTACACCATTACTAAACTGGCTTATTTTTACTTTTTTTTTCATTTCAATTAATAAAATCAAAAAAAAAAATCAACTCTGCTTCAGATTTAAAGATATGCTATAATATTAGAATTAATCGGTTATTAAATTTCTTTTCTAGTTAGATGAGTATGGTTTGACGTATTGTTGCGTGCGCCAATACAGTTCTCACGTCTCGCTGTGTTAGTGGAGCATGTTTCACCCCATCTTTGTCTTATTTGATATTATACTGTTGTCACGTTTCATTGTGATAGTTGAGATTCTAAACTCATTAACAAACATTCATTTAGCAGGGCGCAAAACTTTCACATGATAGCAAGACTGAGTAACTCATTCCTTTTTGATATGAAAAAATAACAAAATTATAAAAGGATTTATTATATATCACGTTCTTATTTTGTTAGTTGAGCATTTTTGATACATTGTTGTGTGCGCCATGAGACTTATCATTGATTAGGTTCGTATACTCGATCTTGCTTTATTTTATTGTCATAGNACAAAACCATGCCTAAAAACATATTGTGTATTAACCCGACAGCCATTATTATTATTATTATTATTATTATTATTATTATTACTGTATTATAAAAGTTGATTTGTTTTCAGTTTCGTGGTCAGTTAACGATCCACGACGAGGTTAAGACGACCAGCACGCCACGAACACTAGCATTATCTATTACGTCAGGTTCTTTGTTCTTTGTATTTTTTCCTCAGGCAATGAAAAAGGGCGTGTCTCTAACTGGAGCAGGGGCAATCCTTGGGTGTTACGAGGTGGCCTTGTTCTGCTGTTCCCTTACTATTGGTTCACAGGTACTGTTGGCTTGTTGCTTACTGCTCAGTAATGATCTTTTTTCTAGATTTTAATGATATTTATAATTAAAATGTATTCCACCTAGGCATGACCTTCAATAAACTTGTTTCTAAAAACCTAAGCCAGCGTTTATAAATAATAAGACGGATCTTGTTTAACAACTGGGAATATTGAAAATTTCAAGCTATTCACATTTTGTTTTAGTTATCTCGCGTAGGAGCGAGACGCTGTTTCTACACCGGGGCGCTTGTAACAGGTGTTAGTTCACTAGCTTTTGGGTACGTAAGCTATGGTCGACATTGGGCCTTTTGTCGCTTCTATGAATTTCAAACGTTTGATTATATACATACAATGTGCGTTAAAATTTAACATAGCGAAAAAACATTTTAGCACCCCCCCCCTCTTTTAAGGTATGCCCTATCCAAAAATGTGCAAAGCGTGACCAAAGTGTCGACCAGAATGGCCATTTCAACATTTTTTTTTTTTTTTTTTTTGCATTATCACAGAACAGAAAAATCTTCAAATAATATATAAATGACTCAAATAGATAGAATTCAAAAGCAGTTTATTTTCTTTCTTGGAAAGAGGGGGTTGTCGGGGGGGGGGGTTGACCGGGGAAGTTTCATAATTGACCATTCTTCAAACAATTATACATAAATAAGGCCAAATGTGCTATTTAAAATGCACATTAAAGAAAACAATACATAAGAGAAAACTTACATATAAAATATGTTTTAGTTTTTTAGATGCCTGTCCTCCCGGTGACACTTTTCTTGCCCTTGCTATATCAATACGTGTCCTAGAGTCAATAGGTGCTTCCATGTCTTTCACGTCCAACTTTGCCCTAGCAACGAGGGAGTTTAGAGACAACACAGCAACAGCATATGTAAGTTGACAGCTACCATTAACTCATTGATGCGGGTTCGAAATACTTAAAGCCATTGTTAGAAATAAATTTATTAGGTATTCCTATAAGTTGTCCTTAAAGTTGTATGGATTATATAAATTTTTCAGGTAAGCATGCATTAAGTTTGTTTTTCAGTCGTGTGTTTCATCTTTGTACTACTTGATGGTATTAATATCATAATAATATCGTATCAATATTTTATGTCATTGCCAAAGCATTTGACATTGTCTTATATACAAAGATGGCTTTTCGTCTACAGCACATATTTTTGAAAAAGCGAATATTAATCAATGAAATTATACTTTCATTGTAGCATGCAAAAACAGGTAATTAAAACATTCTGTCTTTATTTGCTTCATTATTTCTTGTAAAAAAAGCGGTTTGATTCAATTAAATATTTCTTTCAAAATTCTACTCTAGGGGTTCTTGGAAACGTTTGCAGGACTTGGTCACGTCTTGGGCCCCTTGATCGGTGGCGGCCTCTATCAACTGGGAGGGTTTAGACTGCCGTTCTTCGTGTCGGGTCCACTGACGATCATCACAGCAACTGTAGCATTTTTTACCTTACCAACCGAGAAAGAAGAGCAAGGTAACTTGTTACAGTTAGTATTTGCTAAGTTGCCTGATGAGTTATTGTAACTTTTGCCTCTTTGACAAGATAGCGCCAGTTCTTAATCCAAATAAGGGTCAAATATGTACCTGAGCCTTGAATAAAACAAATGGCCAAGTTCCGAAAGTAGGTAATTTATGTTTATTCATCAAATTACGACCACGTAATTGCAGTAATCATGTGTACCATGCACATTAAAGAAAACAAAAGATCTGAAAGAATGCATAAGATAAATTAATTATTCTATATATTGTCATGATGCAAGCAAAACCCACTGATCATGGCATTAATGGGAACTAATCAACATAGTGGAAGTTAAAAGGATGTTAGAAGAAAAAGGGTGAAAAGAGAAAGAAAATACTTTACAACGTAACTTACAGAATACATGCAGGCGACTTTAAAGCCTCCAGAGCTAAGGAGATTCGTCGAGAAATATGAAGGAAGATGGTGGATCAGAATCACCGTCACTTCGCCAGAATATGTATGGAGATATATACTGTGCACGCAAAGAATAACCTGTTAGTGTTACATCATACTTCCCACGTCCATTACCTCCTTGAAGTCTGAAATTTAATTTCATATCAGTTGTTCGCCTTTTTTTATTCACAGATATACCAAGAGACTACGGACAGCTAATTAAAATAGCAAAGATACCGGCCATACATCTAGAACAAGTAGCCGTTTGGGTAGGATATGTTGGCTGGAGTGCTTTAAGTCCCACTCTAGGAGGTCATTTACAGAATGTAAGATATCTGACTAGAAGTGCACTGTCATTCTAATGCTAGTGAAAAGATACTTTATAATTACGTTATTGTGAAACGTAGGTAACTAAAAAGTAACGAACATGTTTTCTGCTTTTAAATCAATTTCCAATATGTCGTTTAGCATTTTTTTATATTTCATTCTTTTTTTAATATTTCTTTCCTTTTTCAGTTTTTTTTTTTATTACTGTCGTGTTTACAGGTAGATTCCTCTGTTCAAGGCAACCATATCATGATCGGTTTGGCGTTTTCTCTGACTGGAACCTTTTACACGTGCTCGGTACTATTGTTTGGTTTCATAACAGACAAATACGTAAGCTGTTTTTCTTTTTAGTTTTTATTTTAAAATTCTCTTTATTATTTTATGAAAATCATTATTTTTCCTCTTTTTTGTAATATTTTTCGTTTGGTCTAAAGTCGCATAATAGCAACTAAATTTAATACCTCACCTGGTGAAAGTTTCACAGCAAAACTGTAGTTCCAAAGCATACAAATGAGTATAAACTTCCAAAGATATATTAAATAAATGTCCTGTTTTTCTTATAGAATCAGTGTAAGGTAATAATAATCTTGGGACTCATCGTCATGGCCGTAGCCTTAACTCTCATTGGACCCTGGGCACCCTTCACTCACCTATTCCCAAACGGCAAGGGGTAGGTACCAATGCCATAACTTAAGAACCATGAAGACATTTCTTTAAGATATGCTGTTGCTGTGCTAAATGTTGCAATGTAGTAATCGATGACTCTATTTCGAAAAACAGGAATAAAATACACTGTTGTTCATACCTGTCACAACTATTGAAGTTTATGGATTCAGTCGCAAACGTCTACATGTAAGGGCTCTGTTATCTTTGCATATACAAAAGCTGAAAAACATACAAAAGAAGCACAAAGAAACACAAAACACCAGCAGTCTAGAGATAAGTTCAATCATTTGTTAAATATGGTCTTCAGAAAAACAACGCATTCGCATATGGCCATCTCAAGGGTAGAGTAGGAACGTAGATTCAGCTAGGAAGACCAGATGCTCTCAGTGCACGTCTCTTAGGTTTCTGTTTTGAGTTTGCGTAGCCGTGGTTAATGCTATATGGTAACGTGTTCACATAGGTGTCTTAGCCATTATTCGTGGCATATTGCCATGTTGGACCTATTTCCCGTTCAAAGTTTGGCGGGATAGGCCTATCAAACGATGAGCCCATGACAGTGGAAATTTTCGTGTGGGTTCTTCTGGCAATGTTCATGATAACGCGAACAGAACCTGACGTCAAATTGTGTCAAACTGTGAATCTGTCAGAAGCTACACTGCGGGTCGGAGCTCTTCTCGGGGTAGAAACTAGTCTGATAATATGTGGCCTTGAAACCCAAAGCTCTCTGGCAATGTTTGGTTCCCTGAAGCCCAGTTCATTGAATGCAGTTATTTGGTACTACAAACAACGCGAGTTGTCTTGGTATGGCTTTGGTAATAGTTTGGTGGAGCGCTAGGTCAGATCTCATCTTCAGAAACACCCCTTTTATAACCAAACTTCGTGGCAGCCACAGTTCATATGTGCTCATTTTTGACCCAGATAATGCAAAATGGTCATTGGTTTCTGTGGGAAATAAAAAAAAAACAAAAAAAGCAACTTATGCGTGGCTTTTAAAATCTATCACATCAGTTAAAAACAAATTATAAAGGTTTGACAACCAATTTCAGCAAGTTACATCTTGATAAAAATAGATTCCCTCCCTCCCCCATGTCGCGAGGAGGCTATGTCTCGCCCTAAAATATTTAAGATCAGCTATAAACTTATCTGTATGTGTGCAGTAATATTGTACATTTTGGATTTCAGAGCATCATGGGGAGTTTACTTGGGGCAATGTTTAAATGGAGTTGGAAACGCCTGTATCAATGTGGCTGTCTTGGCGGATTGTATAAAGGAAGCCGTGTAAGTTACGTACAATTAGAATTAGCTTATATGAATGTAGCTGCCATGGCGGATTTTATGGCGGACGTCGAAAAGTTGGAAGACTTGTGAGGGTCTTGTGCCCCATTCCTCTCTGTTGAGTATTATTAGAAAGATATTGTTTTGTAATCGTAGGCCGTGCCAGTTATGTACACACACTGTACATTAGAAGTGTAAAGTAATAAAAGTAGGCAGATCTTGGGTAGTTATAATGCCTGGTCTACTTATAATGTGACTAATGAGTATAAAACCGCTATACCATGGAATTGTATTGTTGGTCTTGTACATGTACAGCAAATGTTATTCCTATCTTCCTCCAATATGGCAAGACACAGGCAATTATCTTACGGTTATAGGTGCAAGGCGAAATATAAGCAATGTCAGAATATCGATACAATTGAATTGTTCAGTCAGAACCGTGCAGAGGGTCTGGTCTCGGTATAGAAACCCTGGATCAAAAGACAAAGTGTCTCTGATGGGTCGTCCTAGAAAAACTACTGGTCGTAAAGACCGACGACTGATTTTGATGTCCAGGTTGTCAAAGTTCGACACTGCTTGTCAGCTGACAACACAGTGGAACAATTTCACACGTAAGAATGTGCCTGTGAAAATTGCTAGGCGTCGGTTACATGCTCATATTGTGTACAGCAGGGTAGCAAGACGGAAACCTCTTATATCGTTACAAAACAGGCAACGTAGAGTGAACTAGGGTCAACAGGATTTGGAACTGGACAGTCCATGACAATTGGTCCTATATTTTTTTTTTTCTGATGAGTGTCGCTTTGGTCTGACCTCTGATGACAGACGGGTACGATGCTGGCGAACTGCTGGTAAAGCATTTGAACCACATGCACTGAATTTTCGAACCCGGAGCAGCATATTCATCACGGTGTGGGGCTGCATCAGCATCCATGGCGTGGGCGAATTGATAGTGGTTGATGGAAACATGAATCACTAGAAATATATCGATGTTTTGGAGTCAGGCTTGCTACCATCTATTACTAACATGTTTGGTGTCAGGAATTATCCATTTGTTCACCAGGATGACAATGCTCCTTGTCACAGGCCCAGAGCAGTTGATGATTGGTTTGACCAACAGGACATTCGCAGGGTGATGTGGCCTGCCCAGAGTCCGGATGCAAATATAATAGAAAATGTGTGGAATGATATGTCAAAATTTTGACAAATGCCCGTCTATCCAGCAGAGAAACTCTGTTATATTCAGTGTTTCATGCTTGGGCCAGCATAAGCCCTGAACGCATCAGACAATTATATGAAACCTTGCCTCGTAGACTGGCACCTATTATTAGGTCACGTGGCAATGCCACTAAGTACTAATTTTGGACTTGAAACTGCATATTTTGGTAGAATGTATATTTTGTTCTCATTTTGTGATTTTTTGTGAAATTTGATGTTAATAAAATGATACCAGGAGCATATCATTCCACAGTCATCTATCTCCCCCATAGTATTGGTTCAGTAGAGGTGACAATTCTATTGTCCAGTGTGTGTAGTATTATAATCCACTTTTTTGAAGTTCTGTAGCCGTCATGGCGGATTGTGAAAGAAAATCATGGAAGTGGTAAGATTAGTTACTGGGCCTTATATTCTGTTTCCCACTCTTTAACATGATTAGTAAAAATATTCAGCATTCATTCAGAAGGATGAGAAAATTTCTCTACACCATTACTAAACTGGCTTATTTTTACTTTTTTTTTTTTTTCATTTCAATTTATAAAATCAAAAAAAAAAAAAATCAACTCTGCTCCAGATTTAAAGATATGCTATAATATTAGAATTAATCGGTTATTACATTTCTTTTTTTGTTAGATGAGTATGGTTTGACGTATTGTTGCGTGCGCCAATACAGTTCTCACGTCTCGCTGTGTTAGTGGAGCATGTTTCACCCCGTCTTTGTCTTACTTAATATTATACTGTTGTCACGTTTCATTGTGATAGTTGAGATTCTAAACTCATCAACAAACATTCATTTAGCAGGGCGCAAAACTTTCACATGATAGCAAGACTGAGTAAGTCATTCCTTTTTGATATGAAAAAATAACAAAATTATAAAAGGATTTATTATATATCACGTTCTTATTTTGTTAGTTGAGCATTTTTGATACATTGTTGTGTGCGCCATGAGACTTATCATTGATTAGGTTCGTATACTCGATCTTGCTTTATTTTATTGTAATAGTTGAAATAATTTAAACTAATCAATATTTTAATATAATTGCAGGTTCCACGGATTACCCGATAATATAATCACATATAGTAATTTGTCAGCAGTATATATCACATCCATGGGCCTTGGGTGAGATTTTGTGTGGTTCTTTTCATTCTGATTTCTTTTTTTTTTAAATAGTTAAATAGAGTTATTTTGGAGAGAGTTACAGAAACCCCGGGAATAATTTAATGCCATCTNAACGCCATCTGCAGTATGCGCGCCATTAAAAAATACATTGGTGTTTTTTACTTTTTATTTAAAACCGTAATTCAGTGGACAGAACAGTAGCTAAAAGCGTGACAATATAAACCTTCAATTCTGAATATCTTAATTTACATGCTACAAAACAATCCTTTCAATATTTTATTTACATTTAAGGAATTTCATCGGGACGCTTATTGGAGCAGCCATCGTGGAACATAATCCATTCAGCACGTTATCGACAGTCCTTACGGGGCTCTGTCTGGGAGAAGTAAGTACTGGCAAGACAAAACGGAAAATATACTTGAAACACATCCTTGTGAAAGGGGCCTCAAATCTTCATATGCATCACATTTTCAATAAACGAAGGCAAAAAGGAAGTAAAAAGAAATACAAAAATCCACACAATGATACGGCAAACAGAAGCTGCCTCTATTTATGACCATATTATCTATTTTAATGTGTTTGTTTTCAGACTGTTACGTATGTGTAAATGTGCATATATTGTGTATCGGGGATCGCAAATATCCTGGCATAAATCACTATTTTAATGTATGGAGGCGGCCATGGCCTCTATGAACTATTTTATTGTAAAATGTACGTCCGTATGTCCGTTTTCAGGCTGGTCTCCTCGTTCTATACTGTGCGGTAGTTTATGCAGTACTCACAATGAGGCGTAACAGGTCCGAATACAGCAGCATTGAAAGTGATAATGCCAGTAACAGTGACACACAAAACGCCGAGGAAACATTGCTACTGCCGCCAACCCCTTGCCCGATAATACAGAGTCAATACGTGCAGCCAGAAAAATATATGCCTAATGATGACGTCAGTTCTAACTAGAATTGGGGATTGTAATTCGACTTTTAGTCCAGGGTTCACTCTCTTGCCTCCAATACACGTTATATATCCAAAATTCGCAGGGGACGTGCGATCTTAAAATCCGTGCGTCATGTCGTGATCGAGGCTATAAAGAGAGTCCCGGATGCTATACTACCTAGCGGTCAGTGAATAACAACTCACGTCATGTTGATGAAGGCCTAGAAGTCCAAGTTGGCCACAAGCTTATGGTATGGAAAATATTTCAGCTCGTGTTAAATAATAACTGTGTATGGACATTTAAGCGAAACTGATTATATTTAATATAGGCTATTTGTCAGTGAATCTTCATGTCGATTGACATGCAGCAGAAAGTGGGCGGTCGTAGAATATCGGTCGAAAAGCTGGCAGCTGAAAGGCCCCGTTCCCATAACCTTATCGTACTAGCTGGATCGACCTAAACTTCTCAGGGATTGCGGCTAAATTGTATTTTGTTTAAGCGGCTTAAATGTCTGGCACGCTCCCTCGTAACTTAATGTACTTGCTTTGCGAGGGGGCGCGCCTGACAATACAGCTGATTACATAGATTACGTCTTAGCGAGAATCCCCGCGGAGATGGATCCATCCTGCTTATACGATAAGGTTAGGGGAACACAGTCTAGGAGTAATTTGAATTGCAGGTCATAGAGTCCAAATTACACTGAAGAAAAATCATGAAAACACACACCAATAAAATTGATGACTTTGGATGTAAATTAAATGGATTTTACTTCTGTAAAACTGCTCCCATTTATGCGTGTATGTTATTAGTACAATAAGCTGTTAGACATATGTACGAAATACATGTACTTATTCGATACTAATATATACTTATTCTTATAAACATTAGGAATTAATTGAGAAGTAGTACAAGCTTTTTAAATATGTTTTATCCTTCTAGAGAAAATATGAATTAATTTTTAGGTATAACCTCGTTACAGTTTTACCAAACATATGAGAAGACTCATGTCGATCAAGGTAGCTTTATAAGATTAAATGAAGCAATTTAAATATTAAAAGGTCCTATACTTACCTTATATATGCCATTATAAATAATCAAGACCAACCCCCAAAAATTCTAAAGCAAAGAAGGAAAAAGTATACAAAAATGCAAAACTCATCTTTATCCTCCACTTTTTAAAGAATCACGGATATATTTATATACGTGCTTTATAATAAAGGAATAAATATGCTTTCTCAGTGGTAATAAGTAATACGCCCGTCGTAGATTTGATAAATAAGTACCCCTATTCTATACTATTCAAAGTCGTATAATATAGAAGATTGTTGATTTCGTGCTCCCCTGTTTTCCTTTCTTATTTTTTCATGCTAAAAATAAGGCATAAGGTTAATCCATAAGGTTACATTATTTATGGTTTTATCATACAAAAAAGCAAGTTTTGTTAACAAATATCCAGGAGGATGCGTCCCACACTCCCAGTTTGTACATGTATATACGATTGTTAGAAATAAGATATAATTGCAGTATCGTGCAAAGACGTGGGACGCACGCCTTAAAATAGCACACAGACCAATGGATCCGAATACTGCTACGTCATGTACTATAGCATTATTTAGTGCAGCCCATTAAACTTTTGGTCTGAATTGGGTGATTGATGGGCCTGTCAAGTAATGTGAGAAATTGCTAAAAAAGGGAAAGTTCCATCCCTGGCTGTTTTCGCATAAGTAAGAGGGAAACTACATACAGGTGTGGGGACATACATTGTACAGAATGAGAAAGAGAAAATGAAAGAGGAGATAGAGAATGAGAAGGAGGGAAGAAGGGAGGAGATAGAGAATGAGAAGGAGGGAAGGAGGGAGAAAGTAAATACAGGAGGCAAGTTGCTCAAGCTGAGTTCCCGGCAGAAATTCACCTTAATGAACGGTGCACTTTCCAACATTGCCGTTAGCGTGAGCTACTCTGTATTGCTGCCATTTCTCCGAGATGTGGTAAGTGACAAATGACTGGTTATTTTATAGCAAGTAACTTGTTTAAATGGCTTAAAATCTCTTTTGGTGACCGGAATGGGCGGATAGAGTCTATAACGATGTTGCCGCCACAAGGTAAGGTCATATAACAGAACAGAAAAAGAACGTGAAATCATATCATCTATGGCTATACTGTCTCCATGATATGTCTAATAACATATTGTGTATTAACCCGACAGCCATTTTATTATTATTATTATTATTATTATCCATTTTTATAGGACCCTTGATGCAACAAAATCATATGATAAACATTCGTTTCATTTTAAACCTGAATATGAAAAATTAAATAAACGAACTTCATGTTCACATGTATGTTTCTTATAATGAGGTATTTGCTTACTGTATTATAAAAGTCGACTCGTTTTGGTCAGTTAACGATCCGCGACGAGGTTAAGGCGACCAGCACGCTACGAACACTAGCATTATCTCTTACATTAGGTTCTTTGTATTATTCTCAGGCTGTGAAAAAGGGCGTGTCTCTAACAGGAGCAGGGGCAATCCTAGGGTGTTACGAGGTCGCCTTTTTCTGCTGTTCCCTTACTATTGGTTCACAGGTACTGTTGGTTGGTTGGTTACTGCTCAACCAGCTTTGATCTTTTTTCTAGATTTTGATTATATTTATTTATTTATTCAAATCTGTAATTAAAATGTATTCCACCTAGGCCTTCAATAAATGTGTTTCTAAAACGTTGCACCAACGTTTATGAATAATAAGACGGATTAAATGTCTTGATTAACAACTGGGAATATTGAAAATTTCAAACTATTCACATTTTGTTTTAGTTATCTCGCGTAGGAGCGAGGCGCTGTTTCTACACCGGGGCGCTTGTAACAGGTGTTAGTTCACTAGCTTTTGGGTGCGTAAGTTATGGTCGACATTAGGCATTTTATCGTTTCTATGAATCTCGAACATTTGATTTTAAACATACACTGTGCGTTAAACTTAAACATAGCGAAAAAAATATTTAAGCACCCTCCCCCTCAAGGTATACCCTATCCAAAACTATGCATTGCGTTTAATCATACCTGAGTTGACACACGTACAAAGCGTGACCAAAGTGTCGACCAGAATGGCCATTTCTACATTTTTTTTTTTTTTTTTTGCAATATCACAGAACGGAAAAATCTTCAAGTAATTTATAAATGACTCAAATAGATAGAATTCAAAAGCAGTTTATTTTCTTTCTTGGAAAGAGGGGGTTGTCGGGGGGGGGGGTTGACCGGGGTTGTTTCATTATTGACCATTCTACAAACAATTATACATAAATAATACCAAATTTCTTCTAAAAATGCATATTAAAGAATAAAATACATAAGAGAAAACTTACATTTAAAATACGTTTTAGTTTTTAAGATGCCTGTCTTCCCAGTGATACTTTTCTTGCCCTTGCTATATCAATACGTGTCACAATTTTAGTTTTTTAGTTTTTTAGATGCCTGCCCTCCCGGTGACACTTTTCTTGCCCTTGCTATATCAATACGTGTCCTAGAGTCAATAGGTGCGTCCATGTCTTTCACGTCCAATTATGCCCTAGCAACGAGGGAGTTTAGAGACAACACAGCAACAGCATATGTAAGTTGACAGCTACCCTTAACTCATTGATGCTGGTTCAAAATACTTAAAGCCATTGTTAGAAATAAATTTATGAGGTATTCCTATAAGTTGTCTTTAAAATTTTAATGGATTATATAAAGTCTTCAGGTTAGCATGCATTAAGGTGGTTTTCAGTCGTGTTTTTCATCTTAGCACTACTTGATGGTATTGATATTATAATAAAGTTATTGCCAAAGCATTTGACATTGTCTTATATAGAAAGATGTCTTTTCGTCAACAGCACATATTTTTGAAAAAGCAAATATTAGTCAATGAAATTATAATTTCATTATAGCATGCAAAAACAGCTAATTAAAACATTCTGTCTTTATTTGCTTCATTTTTGTTGTAAAATAGCGGTTTGATTCAGTTAAATCTTTCTTTCAAAATTCTACTCTAGGGGTTCTTGGAAACGTTTGCAGGACTTGGTCACGTCTTAGGTCCCTTGATCGGTGGCAGTCTCTATCAGCTGGGAGGGTTTGGACTGTCGTTCTTCGTGTCGGCTCCACTGACGATCATAACAGCAACTGTAGCATTTTTTACTTTACCAACCGAGAAAGATGAGCAAGGTAACTTGATACAGGTGGTATTTGCTAAGCTGCCTGTTGAGTTATTGAAACTTTTGCCGCTTATACAAGAAATCACCAGTTCTTTCTCCAAATTACGGTCAAGTACAATGTACTTAACTGAGCAATTAGAAAACAAATGACCAAGTTCTGAAAGTAGGTAGAAAGACAATAATGTCATAAATTTGCGTAAGACTAGCTTAGTTTATTGGTCATGGAATGAGAAGGAATCAAATGGGGAAGTCAATAATTAAAGTTAAAAGGAATGGCAAGTAAAACGGGGAAGGGGGAGAAAATATTGGACAGAGTAATAGAAAGATGACGAATAGGTAGTCTAGAAAGTTGCTGAAATTGACAGGAGTATAGAGACAGATGGAGGAGCATAATCGATTTCGACAGTCAGCATGGAGTTATGAATAGTGCATGATAAGAATCAATTACTTCTTCATATTTATCACTGTCAAATGCTTTCTTGAAGTCTGTATTTTTATATCAGCTGTTCGACGTTTTATTCACAGAATTATCGTCAGACTATGGACAGTTAATTAAATTAGCGAAGATACCCGCCATACCGCTGGAACACCTAGCAGTTTGGGTAGGATATATTGGACTTAGCGCTTTAAGTCCCACGCTAGGAGGTCATTATGAGAGCGTAAGCTGTTTAATTGCAACTTTTTTTTCATTATATTTCTAATGAAAAGATACCTCGTACTTACATAATTGTGAAATGCAGGTAACTTTTCTCCCAAAACATTATTCATTACGTCTTTTATCATCGTGGGGTATTTTATTAACGATTTCCAATGCCTATGACGCTTATGTTAAAAGATCATCTATAGATTGATCACTTGGTTGATTCAAATGTATCTTTCAGATCTCTAGAAGCAATAACTATTTGCAAAATATATTGTATTATCATACTCATGGATGTAGATCAGTTTGTTGAAAATACATGTATTTCTTCAATCTTGTTATTTTGTGTTCTTTTTTGTGTACTTTCCCTTTATTAAATACATATCATATTTACAGGTGGATTCATCTGTCCAAGGTAACCATATAATGATCGGCCTGGCGTTTGCTCTGTGTGGGATTTTTTACACGTGCTCCGTGTTTTTGTTTGGCTACATAACAGACAAATCCGTAAGCTGCTTTTCTTTTTAATCTCCATTTTATAATTCTCTTTAAAATTATTATTATTATTATTATTATTATTATTATTATTATTTTGCCATTTGCGTATATATCGCCTTCAAGACAGATATGTCCCCGGTGTAACTAGACAGAGAGTCCCCCAAGATGGAGAGTGCGCTTCCCATTCATTTTTACAGGTAAGCCTCGCCCTAGGTTTTGACCCAGTTAAGTCAGACTAACCCTAACCATTATAACAAAATGGAGGGCGGATTTTTTTGTTACACGGACCCTCAGTTCCGTTACACCGGAATTGACATGAGCCGCCTTTACATACCTGCAACATTCCCCATACCAGATGATGCACGTCATCCACTTATTCCTGCAGTTTGTTTACCCGAAATCTGAGAATATGCCCATATTGTGGGGTAAGGGGATTAATCACGCCATATTTATTTTACAGAATCATTACAAGTTAATGATAATCACGGGACTAGTCGTGACGGCCTTGTCCTTTACTTTCATTGGACCCTGGGAGCCCCTGACTGACCTATTTCCAAACAACAAAGGGTAGGTATCATTATCATACATTTTAATTGATGACAATTAACCGCAAATTTTGATTGAAATATACTGTTGGCGGGTGAAAATATTGATACTCGAACGTTCTTACTAAAATGACTGTTCTTTAATTGTCTCGATCTGACACATCTACAACAAGGGGTAAGTATCATTGTCATGGATATTAAAGGGATAATAAATCTTCGTATGAGATCTTTATTTCACAATAAAAGCATTGTGAATAACTCATACAAATATTATATATTCTGTTTTACCACAACAACGGCAGTTATAGTTATTATTCTTATATTTGAGCTTGTCGTCAGACCACGTGACCGCCATTGATGGCTATACTCTGTTATAATCTCTTAAGAGATTTTAACAAAAAAACATACTTTATAGAAAAAAACCAGGGACTAACTTTGAATGTAAAAATGGATTCATTAACCATTGGTAAGTATGGGAAAATTGTTCTTTACTCCAGGAAAATTCATTTTTTGGCCAAAACGAAGAGTTATTATCCCTTTAATTTCAGAAGACACGTACATGATAACAAATATACTGCTGCTGGGATAAGAAATCGCAGGGGTAATTGATGACACTCTTTTGAAGCAACAAAATGGAAATAATTCATTTTTATTAAAAACGAAACTGCACCTGTGCCTCAAAGAGGCTGTGTTTCGTTCCAAAATATGTAAGGTCCACCAAAACCTGATCCGTATATGTCCAGTAATACTCCACATTTTGGATTTCAGGACAGCATGGGGAGTTATCTTGGGGAATTGTTTATCTGGCATTGGGTGCGCCTGTATCAATGTGGCCGTCTTGGCGGATTGTGTAAATGAAGCCGTGTAAGTTATATGGAATTAGAACTGCTTGTATCAATGTAGCCGTCATGGCGGATTTTGTCACAGAAAGCGTGAAAGTTGGAAAATGTTAAGTATTATTAAAAATAAAATATTGTTTTGAAATATTGTTTTCCAAAACTAGACCAAGTGTCCATTTAGCAAGGCGCTTAACTCTAGCCCGAATAAAAAAATCTGGCTAGTGAATATATTTTTCATTTAAATGAATAACAATTAATGAATCATAAAATGTATTTTTCTCTATTCAAAAAAGGTGAAAGTGGTATATACAGTTGTACTTTCTCTGTTATCACATTTGATTGTGCCAGTTGATATCATTTAACTTGCCAGTTTAAAAACAATTATTGCAGGTCTCACGGATTACCCGATAATATAGTCACATATGGCAATTTGTCAGCAATATTTGATACATCAATGGGTCTGGGGTAAGATTTCGTTTGGCTCTTTTCCTTTCTTTTTTTTTTTTACTTTGTATAGCTTTGTTGATCCGTTAAATGATGAAGTTATATCAGAAAAACGAACAGATACTTGTGAAATAAGTTACCAGTAATACCATCCTCCGTATGTACGCCTGTACTAAGGCGATTTTTCCCTTTTAAAAACGCATTTTATTGGACGTAGCAAATGTTTTCAATTGCTTTACCTTATGCTGAACTATCCGTATGCTTAAAATTTTTACTTGTTTAAGGAGTTTCATTGGGCCCTTTATTGGAGCAGCTATCGTGGAACATAATCCATTCAGCACGTTATCGGCAGTCCTTACGGGGCTCTGTCTGGGAGAAGTAAGTACTGCCACGGCAAAACAGTAAATATACTTGAAACAGGTCCTTGTGAAGGGGGCCACAAATCTTTATATCCATCACACTTTCATTAAAAGAAGTCAAGAAACAAATAAATAGAAATACAGAATGATGCCATCACAGAAAGTGCCTCTATCTATGACCATCCATTTTAATATAAATACTTCTTTTTCCAACCGTACGAGGGTGTTTGTGTGCGCGATATATGTGTACGTATGTGTGTGCGTGTATGTGCGTACGTATGTATATATGTATGTACAATGTGTATGTGTGCTTGCGTGTCTGTGCATTGAGTATGAGGGGGTCACACATGTAATTACATAAATCACATTTTCAAGGTATGGAAGCGGCTCACGCCTCCATGAACCTAGACTTTATTCTACTGTGTGTGTCCATTTTCAGGCCGGTCTCCTCGTTCTATACTGTGCGATAGTCTTTGCGGTCTTTAAAAGGAGGCAATACAAGTCCGGATACAGGAGTATTGACGGTAACAATGCCACTTACAGTGACACAAACGACGCCAAAGGAACATTGCTGTTGCCGCCAATCCCTTACCCGGCAATCCAAAAACAATACGTGCAATCAGAATAAAGATTGATGATGACGTCACTTATAACTAGCCTCGGGGCTGGACTGTAATTCGACATACCTGAAGGTCTAACAGTGATTGCAATCCTATTTAGATCAACATATTGCTTAACTGCTAATAGCAGAAGTTGCTTGGGGATTTTGTGCCCCTAATGCCCATTACCCATGTGCCTTTAACACACTCTTCTATCAAAAGAAAAGTCGTGTTTTTATTCAGTCTATAGTCACGACATCCACATATTTTTCTGTTTGTCAAAGCCAGTTACATAAATCTGTATGCAACAGGTCACCTTAATATCTATCTCCACAACCATCCCAGTTGAATATAGATAGAGTGTCATTTTTTCTGCTATTAAGGCGGCCTCTGGATGGGATATGTGTACTAGATAATTTTCAAAACTTAAATAATACTTCTTTTCTTTGAAGGGTCGGCAAATATAATGTCGAGTTTGCCTATGGGGCACTTCTACTGCTAAGTGAACCAGTAATATGTATGCCTAGCCTACCAGAAGATAAGTTCTTATTCACATATAAGATCGTAATGTTCAGGCCTTGCGAGAAAATGTATATTTTTATTACAAATCTGAAAACAATAGAAATGTGTCATGTAGTTGACAGGTTCGTCTGAAACATAACAAATTTTCATCATTTACTGTGTAAAAGTAATAGTGGTCGACAAACGCTGCATGTGCTTACCAAACTATGTTATTAAACCATATTACTACGCAGAGTGATTCATTCTGTTGCAATGTATGCATATGCGCATTATAGAGTAGCTCCATTAACATTTACTCGCGTTGAAACAGTTTCAAGTATACAGATAAGATTTGTATAGCTACCAGTACAGGCATGCGTTTCTATAACAGCACCCTGGACAGCGGAAGTAAATCAATACAATTAAAATTAACCTATTATCCAACTTCCATCAACCTTGAGTTTTACCCATTTTAACCCCCCCCCCCCCCTTCAAAAATTATTATACCGTTTAACTTTTAAGTGTATTTCATTGCAACACGTACGGTTAAAGAAAAAAAGTTACCCACTACAAAATGTTGTACAGTAGAATTGCCAGTTTTTAATAACAGTATGCTCTGTTCAAACTCTTGCATTTTAATGACAGGTGTTTCCTTACTTCTTTTGAGCAGTATATATTGCTCAGTAATTAGATCTTCCTGTTCATCCCTTGCACGAAGACCGAATATTCTATCACGAAGGCACAAAAGCAAACACAATAGAAAAGTCGTGTGCTTGTTATGGTGTTCAACCCGCCCCTTTCCAACATTAACGGGACCCACTCCCCCCAATTAGTGTCACTGCACGGTGGCACACATGGTCATTCACAGCGTCAGGGTTGACGGAACGCGCTTTAAGCCAGATACAGCACTGGCCACCGACGGACCTCGGCAATTCACCTTTCCGGATACATTTTTTTTACAGTTTTATTAGATTGTGCAGGAAATCGTGACGTAGATATGTGAAGAGGTTTAAGCTGGTTAGTCATTTTAAGCTGGCTCTCCTATAAGTATTTATTTAACATTTCTATATTTTGTTATAAAACAGGGGGGACCAAGTTAAGGAATTCTTTTAAAGCTGCCTGTTTTATGTTATCGACGCAATTTTACGCGTTGGTCATATTTGAACGTGGCAAATACTGACAATTTACAGCAGACCACCATCCTTAAAGTGTGTGAACGAAATATACGAACATTTAAGTATATGTTATGAAATTCTGATTGATATCCGCTGATCAACACGAGTTCGAGTTCAGTGTGACTTTTACTGAAAAATACGTCTGTAAGGTCAATGAGACTTAATTTGGCTGTTGTTACGCTAGACACCTGAAAACAGTGGAGCACCAAGACATCATTACATGGAGGATCACATAAGATAAAATAAGAATTTATTCAACCACTTTATAACATAATGAAACAGTACTTTTCGCTTTTAGGAGTTGTAAAGATCGGTTGTTAATGTCTGCAAATAGGTGTGCATGCTGGTCAGCGTGAGATTTGTAAAGCCCGAGTAGAATTCTACCCGGTCGTTAAAACAGACTTTGAGAATCATTAAGATGCATTTCACCTTTTCATGGCAAGTACACGGGTTAAGGTGTGATAGACGTGGGACGTCAGATGTAAGAATCAGACTCCCGATAGTTATACTGGCGAGTTTTCCGTGTACAGAACTAACTGGTCAATTATTTTTCTCATTCGACTGAACATATTATCATTTTGCTATCACAGGTTTCAGTGTATTTTTAAGTAGTAATATCTATTATACTTTGACTCGCTGTAGAAATACTGGCGAATTTTTCGTGTACAGAACCAACTGAGCATCTACTGTCTGCCTCTCTACTCCTTCGACTGAACATATTGTTCGGTTATCACGGGTTTTGGAGTATCTCTAATTAGCAACATCTGTCTGTCAGTATCAACGGCACTGTGATCCGGCTTTTTTCGTCGACATACCCCATACACGACCACACAGTATACGAACATGACGCTGGCCTGGAAATAGAGAAACGTGGCAATCTGTAGTATCACTTTTGCTATTATTATAAGCTTACTATCCCTCTATCAAATTATTCATCCGGTAATCATTATTTTTATCTGGCGGTTTGTTTGCTTGTTTATTTATTATTTATCTTAAACAAGCAAGTGTTTGTTCTGTGGTGTATCCATCATATGTTTTAGTTTAAAAATCTCCAACTGTTTTCTTTCGCTTCGCAACGACACTTTATATTCCCAAACAGAGACACTGTGCTGTGCTTTAATCATATTGAATTACAAAAGTTCCCGTAACATTATGGTACTAGCAGGATCGATCTCAGGGGGACTTTCGCTAAGGCGCAGTCACTATAATAAGCTTATTAATTGTCTGGCACGCCCCTCGTGGACCCCAAAGTTTGCTTTACTTTACCCAAGTAATTTTAAAGGGATAATGACTCTTCGTTTTGGCCAAAAAATGAATTTTCCTAGAGTAAACAACAATTTTCCCTTGCTTACCAATGGTGAACGAATCCATTATTACATTCAAAGTTAGTCCCTGATTTTTTTTTTTTTTTTTTTTTTTTTTTTTTTTTTTTTGTTATAATCTCATAAGAGATTATAACAGAGTATAGCCATCAATGGAGGTAACGTGGTCTAAAGAAAGCTCAGATATCAGAATAATAGCTAAAACTGCAGTTTTTCTTGTACACCAGAATAAATTATATTTCTATGAGTTTTTCACAATGTTTTTATTATGAAATATAGATCTCATACGAAGAGTTATTATCCCTTTAAGTTACGAGGGTGTGTGTCAGACTTTTCAGCCGCTTAAACTGAGTATCTCCGAGATGTTAGATCGACCCAGCTACGACGATTGGGTTATGGGAACGGCCCCTAATAGATTGTTTGTGTGTTTTCGGTACTTACTACAACCAGACAGAGAACCGAGAGTACGGTGGATAACGTACTAAAAGGGAAGTGGTCGGAGATGAGCCCTCCGAATAAAGGCCCAATGAAAAGCCTGAATACAAACAAGGAAATGCATTTAATCTTTTGGTGAAAAATTTAGACAACAGACAGAAAACATTCACATAGACTGATAAGATTTAATATATTTTTGGTCGAATTAAAAAATTCATTTATTTTAATTAAGGTCCAGTTAATCAATAAATTAACATTATTTTTTGCATGTGCGACATGTACCAATTACAATTCCAAACTGATCGGCATCAAATGTGTTTTAGTGACTTTCCTGCATTAAGTATTTAATAATGTAACGGTTAATCATTTTAATATTTATTATTTACAATTAAATGCCGGCACAAAGTATTTAAAATGTACGTTTAAATAAAGAAAAAAAACAAATTCATGAATTGCAGAAACTTTAATTTTCAATATTTCTTTCATTTTATCTGCCCATTTGCAGAATTTTAACAGGATACTAATTACTCATTCTTGATATGTGAAAACACTTACCCTAGCCCGAAAAAAGATTCAAATAATGCTGATAGATTCCCATACGTGGTAATATCATCTGATAAGCCGTCCGCTCTGCAAAGACGGTTAGTAAATCTCAATCTAGACTATAATGCGTGACCGTTTTCAAGTATGTAACAATGCTTGTTTTAGACCAGCTATTAATTACCGTAATTTTCTTATGTCAAAAGTAATGGAAAATTAAGCATAAGGATAAATTTTACACAAAAGTGTTTATTACTGGCGTGGCTCATAGAACGATTATCATTATTCATTTTTTTGTGTGAAAAAAATGCGCCATATTTAAAGACAGTCTCAGCGCGTTTAACCCTTAAAATAGCACGAAAATGAATTTTCCTGGAAATCTCACCAATTTCCCCATAATGACCAAGGTATATCCTATTAAAAACCGTTCAGAAAGTTCCATTAAATAAGTTAGGACTGAGTTAGGACTCACATACGAGGCAATGGCGAAACTACTCCTCGACACGTGAGTATGCACTTCACAGGTCTCAAGTGTGTCTGATTATCATATTATCCTGTTCACAATAAATGACAATATTTGTGCTCACACAAAGTTGGTTACGTGTATAAGAGCTTTTTGGGCTTTTCTGTTTTTGATCGGTACATGTACCGAAAAGATGGACAGGCGGCACTTACATGTCTGACAAGTTTCGCTGTGTAGTCGTGACGTCTATCTCATTCTGACTGAAGCCTGCTGTGATTGGTCGTAAGCGTGGGAAAATCGAGGTCGTGACCTTGAGCCGGAAGTACTTCTGGTTGTGCTCCGAAATCATGATAAATAGTTTTTCGTTTTCTAATTCTTTATTCTAGTTGTCTTAACAGGACTTTTGTGACCCAGACTTATTAATATAATAATAAACAATCTCACAAAACACAAATCTGATCAAAGTTTTACATAGAACCTGCTTCTATACATTAATCTAACCCACTGAGACTGTCTTTAAGGGCGGTGTCATGCTTTAAAGGCCAAGAACGAATGGAAGAATTATAGTGTATTTTCATTATTTTATTTTAAAAAAGGCTTAAATCACTGCGATGTAAAGACTCACGTGACTTCTGAAAGGCGATCTGCCATAACTGCCACTTGATTACAAGCGAGTCCAATTCCGACGGTGCAGCCCCCTAGGTATACGCTCCACGACGCCCTGGAAAATCCCATAGGTTGGCTTATAAAATAATAATAATAATAATAATAATAATAAATGTTTTCAACCAGTAGGTTGAAGTTGTACAGAAGTATTTAGAGCATGCATTGCACTATATTTCATGTTTGAATGACACTCAGAACTTAAAAGAAAGCTACTGGAGATTCCAAACTATTGCACGTGAAATCAATGATTATAGATTTGACTAGTGAAAAATGAAAAGTGCACATGAAATAAAGGACGATCGGAAGAGCAATTGTGTTTCTGTAGCTATGACCTTCCTATTCAATAAAATGAGTCAGTAATGTTTGCATTGCTGACTTTTTATCAATTTTTTTTATTACCGCTGATGTTCAGCCTCATTGTAGGGCACATGTATGTGAAACCATATATCCGTTTGACAATGGAATTTAATTGTCCGTGTGCTAGAAATAGTGGCTGCATAAAGGCATGTCTTGGACTTTTTAGTTACAATTTGAATCTCAACAGTCAAAATGCTAAATAACCTGCTTGTAAAGTAGATACAAAAATAAAAACAACGACAGTTCCGCATAAGATGCACAGATAATTTGTTAACCGCCCTTAACACTGGACGGCGTTCTTTCTGCGTCCTTTCTGCGACCATGAAATTTGGCATCGCTGTGGTCGTAATAAGGAGGCACGAGCATTGATTTTGTATCAGAATGAATGCTCAATGATCGGCCTGTTGTCGGCACGTAAAGTATTATAATTTTTTTAACTCTCAAATGGGGCCGTACTGCTGGACGCAGAAAGGACGCCGTCCAGTGTAAAGGGGGCTTCAACCGCCCTTAACACTGGACGGCGTTCTTTGTGCGTCCGATGTGCGACCATAAAACTGGCATCGCTGTGGTCGTAGAAAGGAAGCACAAGCATCACTTTGGTTGCAGAATGAATGCTCAGTGATCGGCCAGATGTATTATTTTTACTCTCAAACGGGGCGGTACTGCGGGACGCAGAAAGGACGAAGTCCAGTGTAAAGGGGGCTTTAGCATATTAACAGACGAAGAAAGCACTGTACTTACCCTTTGCCATTAGGATATAAAAGGTTAAATGGGACCGCGGGTCCTAGTAGAGCAAAACCCACGGTTTCAACAGTAAGGCCTGTGATTATCTGTAATTTATTACGATTCTGGAAAATAAAAAGTACACGTACTTGTAGCACAAATCTGTGTAATTTGAGAACTATATTTTGCCAATCTACAGGAGAAAAATAAGGATAAAAATATGTGCAAGCGGGCTTAAGTAGGCTATTATTTTCAGGTATTTGTTTCAATAAACCTAATAATAAAATCAAATAAACTAGACATCAAGAATGCCCAATATACAGACATGAAAGGCAAAGTAATGCAAAGAAACATATTAAGCGATACTTGCACGGGGATGCGTAATAAGAATATATAAATACATTTCTGCATACCATGCTGGTATAAATGTGTATATTATGTGAATCAACATTTTAGTTAAGCCATTTACGACACGCTTTATTTTGACCACACCTGCACCCTTATTTATAATTTCAGAATGAGCATTGTTGCTGGGTTCAATTTGACCACCCTGTACATTGTACTTACAAATTTACTGGACACCAGTCCAAATATGGGCACGAGCAATGTATAGCACGTGCCAACGGTGGCAAAAGCCACGCCTATCATGACGTAATTGCCTTCTAGGTTAGAATCCACCTACAAAGAAATATCTGATAGGTAGTGAAAAGGGAAAGCATTTCAATGGCATTCTTAGTGACAGTAAGAAAAACTAATGTACGGAAAAGACTGTACACGGAGCCCCTTTTACAGTTGAATTTAAGCTCCTCAAAAATGGATCTGAGAACTCAGACCACAGCATGTGTCTATTCTTATACAATATATAAATTGGCAGTTTAAATAAAGCCAATATTGGTCTAAAACTAGTGTGTCTTGCTAGTTCTATAAGAGTTTCACATTTTCCTTTATTTGAACTAGTGTTAAGTGACACAGAGTACCCCATGATAGAGAGTCCGCCTCCCATTTAATTGTACAGGTAAACCTGGCCCTAGATTTTGACCCAGATAGATGAGGCTAACCCTAATAATTATAACTAAATGGAGGGCGGACTTTCTGTGACACGGACCCTCAGTTTCGTTACACTAGTACTATTGATAAATCTCCGGTTTAAAAAAGGATCTTACGTCTCTCAGGTGCTGTGCTAGTGCAGGAAATAACGCCCCAACTCCAACAGATGGTATTAATATTGCAGAGTATTCTATCCAGGCAAGAGGTTTTTTCAGCATTTCTAATATCTGACCATGTTGGGAAGAAGTGTCTACAAATAACAAAAAGTCATTGCAAAATTCGACGCCGTCGCTTAAAGCGTGACATATTGTTCATTTAAAGCCATAGACATTGTCGAAGCATCAAGTCCCAGTCACACTAGAGAACAGATTTCTGAATAATTGTGATAACCGCTGTTTTGGTGGAAAAAGATGATTTATTTTATATCTGTTGGTTGTTTACAATACATTCATTGTGAAATATTGATCTCATAAAAACAGTTGCTATCCCTTTAATGCCTGCATATTTGAAGTACGTTCTAAATGTAACCCCTGCGAAAATATGTCTCATCTTACACTCACTTATGGTTCTCAATCTGACCTAGAACATAATATTTTTCTCTTTTAATAAAAATGTTCTTAATCTGTTCTAGGACATTTTGAAGGACTTCCCAAAAACAAATATCGAAGTGTTACATTCATTACAGAACAACATTAGAAACTGTAAAAAAATACACAAAACGTTCTAGAATTGAAAACCGTGAGTGAACGTTAAATGAGACACATTTTCGCAGGGGATTCCTAGCGTATTTCAAGTATTCAATAAAAATAAAAGAGACGTACCGACCCCGGCATCATCAGGAGGAAGTGAAAACGCAGCCCATATTCCTAAAATAACTGACATAGGTCCAAAAACGTAAAACGGTAGCCCGAAACCGCCCAGTTGATAGAGACCGCCACTTGCCAAGGGACCCAAGACGAACCCAAGTCCTGCAAACATCTCCATTATCCCCTTTGAAAGAAAACACAAATAAAATTTGTTAACAAGTGCAGGATTATATGAAAATGGTGGTTCAATCTAAGAAAAAAGGAAAGTTAAAATGTTTGAGGTGTGTCACTGTGCATGCGAAATGAGTAAAACGCATGCGCATGGTATTATTACATTTCATGTCGTATCAATTCTTAGACAAAGGCTTATGAAAATAAAATAAAACCCACTATACTGAAAACACTTTTTGTTGGCCTATAAATCACCTCACATATATATACAAACTAGCCAAAACCGTCTATGTAAACCCATTCTCATAACGAGATTCAACGTGTTGTTGCTGTGCTGTTCTAGAATCATAAACCTACTTACAAATGTCGCGGCAAAGCTACTCCTGAACTCCCTGGCAGCAATGGCGTAGTTGGCCACCATGGCCATGGCTGCTCCCACAGACTCCAGCACACGGACTGATATCCCCAGGCCAAGGAACACGTCCCCAGAGTGCACCGCTCCAAGAAAACTAAACCCAATGTACAGATAAATTAGGGTGATTTAAAATCTTGGGAATGGTTTTACCACCGGAATTTGCTTTTAGATACTCAAGTTACGTACACTTCAGCTTTTTAAAGTATTCATTAAAGTTTGATTTAATTTTTAAACCTTTAGATTTTATCAGTGGGTTCCGCTAAAGAAAACTGAAAAATGGATAACTCTAAGGTCTATCACACTTATTCTCTAAAATGCTACTTTCCAACGAGGGGACTAAACGAGGGGACTAAACGAACACATGCCCCCTCCTCTTTAGCTTCGGTGGTACCTCCTTCTCCCACAATACAAACTCCTCACCCCCACACCCTCACACCAAATAAAAAGATAGAAAGAAAGAAAAAAGAAAGAAAGACTTGCTTGGTTGGGTAACCAGTGTTCGCCCAACGTTGTTCAGCCAACTGCCGCCACCATGATGATGGACCAACGTAAAGTTGATCACTGATGTACTCCGTTTAATACCTACCCAAAGGTTAAAGAACTGAGGCCAAGTACCATGAGGCCTATGGAGTAGCATCTCCGTGGACCTATCCGTGATAACTGAAAGAAATAAGGGGTCATTCAAAATGAGTTATGTCATAATTGACTGAATGGGGACTCTCGCTGAATGCGATCAGCTAAAGTGACTGACACGCCTCCTCCTGTTTCCAATATCTGCTTCTCTGTGGTGTATTCAAAACCAGGGGGACATATAACTTTATTAATCGTACTGCATTCAGCACGCATTAGCTAAACGGTCCTTTTTGGATTGATCCAACACTGTCCTGCAGTAACATATTTGGATTACCGTTAGACATGCCATTCATAATATTCATAAAATTATTTGAGGTGTATATATGACACACATTTACTGTTACACAGAACTGAAGACAAGATTGCTTGGCAACGCTGCCTGACATACCTGAGAACCAATGAGGAGAGTGCAGCCAAGCATGGCGACGTCATAGCAACCGAAAATAGCTCCTACAGAAGTGAGAGACAGGCCTTTTTCTACTGCCTAGAAAAAAACAGTAACCCAGTTTAAGTTAAATATAACGTAAACGTGAACCGTTGTAACGAAACTGAGGGTCCATGTAACAGAAAGTCCGCCCTCCATTTAGTTATAATGGTTAGGGTTAGCCTGACCTACATGTAAGTGGGTCAAATTCTAGGGGGAGGCTTAGTTACCTGTACAGATGAATGAAAAGGGACTCTCTATCATGTGGGACACGACAGTAGATAATTTTGGAATATCGATGAGACAGAGAGAGGAAGAGGGAGAAAGATGGGGTATCCTTGGGGATGGGGTAACGAAGCGAGGCTAAAGTGTCTAGCCTTATACCATCTAAACCCTTTCTCTTCGCAATATGGGGAATCCGCCATGGACAGCAATACAGTGTACCTACTCTGTAACCTTTCAAACAAACAGAAAAATAACTTACCCCGTCTCTCAAAAGTGGTTGCACTATAGAATAACAGCTATACATCATTAAGCCAGTAAGACAGCCGTTCGCCAGCGTGACTTTCTGTCGAGCACTCCATTTTTTACTGTCTCCGGCCTCGTCCTCACTTTCGGATGGTACGTGTATGTCCTCACTTGTGGATGCCATTTCCAAAAGTTTTGAAGTATATATTTTTATACATAAAACATGCCCTGGTCTCTATTTAACCGCACTAGGTGATCGCAGTTCACTATCCCCCTACTTTTAGAACTTCCCTCCTTATATAAAGATCAAAGCATACCCTGTATATGCATACCCTGTATATGTGTAGTATATGTATGCTATACCAATTACATGCTATAAATAACTAAGTCAACCACCGTCAGTTGGCGGAATTTGACCGTTTCACGGCTGCAGTATATTCGAATCGACATTTAGTCCAGGACACAAGCTTCATTCATAAAACCGCAACGATTATACAGCTTGTGAAATATGCATGTCATCCACCTACAGGGTTCAACGTGAGAAAGACTGGGTACACGCTGTGTCTCCGTTGAAAGGTGCACGCTTCTGTTAAACATGCCACATTATCCTCGCCAGGGTGTTTTGAGTACAGGCGGCTGAATGTAACCAGGCAGGCGTGGCGGAACTTGGGAGAACGTGGATATATATAGATGTATGTTAACAATACCAAGATAGCCCTTTCCCCGCTGCAGTAGTTAAGCCGATCGCTATCGCACGGTTGATAGCTGTTCGCCCGGCGAAAGTCACTTTGTCCCGAAGTCGACAACATAGACCCCATTCCCAGAGATTAGATCGACCTAACTCCCTGGGGGGTTCAAGCTAAATAGCTGTCAACCGAGCGGGCACGAAAGTTAATTACCCCCTTACAGCTTGTAGTAGGCGGGACGGACATTTAAGCCGGATTATCTGACATTAATCTAGTGAGACTCCCCACGGGGATAGATCGATCTAAAATCTATGGGAATGCGCCCAAAAACTACGGTGTTCTGAATGAAAAACACAAAGGCCTTCCTTCTGTAAGCACTTGGCATTTTCTCCCGTTTGTTTATAGTAATTACTTACCCTCAATCATTGAAACGAAGAAAGTAGCCCTAACCGTGATTCATATTTTCTGAATAAGATGTCACCTAGCTGGGACAAAGTCTGATAACTCAGAAACGATTTGTTTTTGTCCTCGGAGTTTCCTTCCTAATGTATAGTTTTCTTATCTTCAATAATAACATTATAAAGGCGATTATGTGATGACACATGAAATTTCGAGAAAGTCAGGTGCACCTCGCGTTTGGTATTTTTCATATTCGCTCTGTGATATTTGAAATCATTTACCATGTGCTGTAAAAAATTGAAGGATATTTTGAATTTTTTATATTGTACTGATTATCATTATAACAACAATAATTAGTTTATTGGTTTTTTCACTTAATTTCACTATTAATGAAACGTTGTATTCAAACTTTTACGCAAATTAAATATGTTTATGTAATTAACATCGCCTTAGGTTTTCTTCAATAAAAAAACTCGATTTTTTTTAATTTTCCAGAACCCCTCCCCCCCCCCCCTTTGCTGGCTACGGGCCTGGTACCGCGCCATTATTCAGAATTCAGCTTGCTAGAAACAGGTTTAATCTGCATAAGTGCCCAAAGTTTATGTGTCAGTAACCCCTTGGTTAAATGAATATTCCGTTCTTGGCAAGGCTTTTTCCAGCCAACCGCTGGTCCAGTTTTGTTGTAGGACATGTAGGCAGTTGATTGGCAAATAATGGTCTAACGAAATATTGTCTATGTGGTTCAAATGTGGCGATTTTGATGACCAGGGTAGCTGCTCATTCCCTTGGTTCTGTAAGTTATCTGCTATTAAAAGTGCTCTGTGTGAACCTGCAACCTCATCGTGCAACCTAGAATTGTTGCTAAGGTGCTCCCTATCAAATGATAGTCAAGTGGTTCCGAGATTATTCCTGTATTTGATCTGGTTCAGGTTTTCGTCGATGACTACCATTGGTGTTTTGGCACCAATGTGGAATCTACTCCAAATACTGACGCTGTCAATCACCCTTGTCACTTTAGACCTAGCATATGCTTCGTCGTAGGCCTCTTCTGGATATCTGTAAACTCTGTTTTGACTAATTGGGCGGTACAGGTGAAATCTGACCTCAATAAAGAAAGCCACGCAGTTTCAGTGTTCTACCCAGAATCGTTCATGGCCCCCAATTCATTAGAGAAACAGACGACGATGTTTTGCTGTATACAGTGGGTACCTCGCAGGTCATTTGGAGTTTTGACTTGCGAAAACCAGTTTGGTGTTCGCTAAGGGCTTTGAAAAACGCATTTTAGTGCCAATTTACCCCTCGTTCTGAACGGACTAAGTGTTTTTTGTTTAGTTGCAGCAGCGTATCCCGAAAGACAGTGGGTCCTGTACCCTGTAGGTAAAATTTTGATACATTGGGGGTGACCTCTGTGTAGGTACATCAGTCTGGGCATTACTCTATAAAACTGTGGGGACCGTTCCGTTTGGCGCTATGATCTGTCTGGTTATGTCTGTCTTTCTGCCTTAGATTGACAAATTTGTAATGCACTACTTGACTCATCTTACACACTGCAAAACTGACCGCCTGCATGCAAAATTTCAAATTCCTCTATGCAGTAGTTGCCGAAATATGGAAACTTTTTTGACAGAACCAAGCTTTGCCTAAGCCAAGCTTTGATCAGCCCAAAGGAACACTACCCAATTAAATCACTGCAAATTACATAATGTAGCAGCGCAACAGGCATGAAAGTCAGTTAATTGGTAGTGACACACCTGACTGCACACTTTTACATTCACAAATCTTATATGAGATCGGAGTTTTTTGAAAAAAGAACGTATTTTTACCTAGGTATACCTTCGAAACTGAAATATTCCATATTAAATGTCAAGTCTGTATGTTTTTTAAACATAGATTGGATAACTAATACTGGTGTGCCTTTATTACGGATGTGATTAATCTTTTTTTTAGTTTAAAATGCCTGTGACTTGGGATTTCAATCTAGCCTTGGCTGACCTTAAAAATGTGTGCTTGGATTACAATCTTGCCTTTGACACATACATATTTAGCCGACTGGATGAATTTAAGCATCGTTTTCTTCTGCTGCAAAGGGTTTTAATATAGAAGTTGTAGAAACTTTGGCTTCTTCAGTGTATTTCTTTCTACTCCAGTCTATAAGTTTTTAACACGAAAATTTTGGGGCAAGGGATATGAGAGAAAAAATGGAAGGAATTTGGGGGAAAACTGCTTGAAGCTAGAAGTAGCAGAAGTTATGATTCCTATCAGATCGCAGCAAATTTGTCATGAATTCATATCTAACCTCTTTGACCATACATTTTGAGATTTGGGTTGTCAGTTTCTATTTTGTTGTATAGGAGAGTAACAGGGTGTCATTGTTTGTCAAGGTGTCCTTGTTACAATCTACATTTTGTCACAATAATTTCGCTTTCTTAAAAGTTGATATCTACCATGAGAAAATCTGTCTTGAAGTTTCCTGTATCTCTCGTTAAGACCAGATTTCACATTCAATCCTGTGGACTCCCCTTAAGGTGCTTATCAGATGCAGGATTATATGAAGCTACACTTTAATTATCATGGTTCGAAATATTCCCACGCTCGTTCAACACCTATTAATGGCTGCGTTCAGTATAGGGGATTAGAGAGCAGTCCAACGGTAAATCTACGGTACTCGACTTTACCCTACCACTTTGGGCAGAAGCACAATGCATCCATAAACGAATAGGCCCACCATAAGTCCTCTATTTAAAGAAAAAAACGAACTTGATTGAGGCAATGGCAGTCAAAACATACGCGCTCAGTTTATTAGTTGTAATCACGTTCTTCGTGTTCATTAGTCAAATGGTTTTCAGTAGCTTCAACTCCCTGCCAACTTATTAATTCTGTCAAACGTGACACTTCACGAGGTTGGTTTTAGAGCGCACGAAGATAGTGTGGCAAAATCGGTTGTTAGTGAAACCTGGCGGATTTCCTTCTCAGCAACTCCAATAGAATGGTTAAGCTGAAGCGTAAGACGTCAAGCGCCAGGCATCTACTAGGTATAAATGCGTGTTTGACTTTGTAAGACATGCATTGAGAAAGTTTCAGCTTGTGAACGACTTTACGGCGCTTTCCTGGTCTGCTTTGCAATCTTGCTGAAGGTGCGTTAGCCATGAATGCGACTGAGATGTCGGTCAATGGAAGCTCATTTTTTGAAAAAGACAAAAAGGAAGAGGACAATCCTGATTTGGCCTTCGTCAATCTGTTGTATTTCGCTGTTGGTGGCATTGGTGTTTCGCTCGTTTGTCTGGTTGGCTTAACTCTGAATTTTCTTTCAGTGGCTGTACTTTCACGTTTCAAGAAATGGACCCCGACTGCATTCCTGTTGATATGCTTGGCAGTGGCCGATAACGTTCATATTTTATCAGTGCTCTTTAACTTCAGCCTCCCGTCTATGTATCCGTATACTGGGTGGTTCAAAAACTACTTCTTTACACTGATGAAGCACTCCCGACTTCTGTTGGGGTTGA